TGTGCCGGCCACGGGAGGCTGCGGGCCACGTGCACGTGCCCCTGCGCCCGGCACAGAGCCCCCCGGCCCCGAGAGGCGCTCGAGACGCTGCCCCTCTAGGGGGCCTCGGCCTCTGACCCGTGACATTCAGAGACTTGGTCAGACCAGACATCTACAGGGAGAGTTTTCCAGACGGCTCCCGAGGTGACATGTCCGCCCCCGGCGTGCAGCGTCCAGCGTCCAGGACGCCGAGCCCGGGGCGGGCAGGAAGCGCCCTCTGTGCCCTCGCACGGGTCAGTGTTTGCTGGCGTTGAAATGCTGTGGAGGTCAAAAATAACCTGCCTGGAATAGTCTCCCGTGACCTTGGCAAGTTCACAGGGGTGTTTGAACGGAGGCCGCGAAGCGCATTTGTGATATGGCCGGTGGGGTGCGCACGAGGCGCCCGGCCCCTCCGCGGGCCGTGCTCAGAGCCCAGCATGACCGTGGTGGCCTGGGCGTGCCCGTGTGGACTCTGGCTCAGCGGGGTGCGGGGGCCCCGCTCATCTGTGGCCCAGTTCCGGCTAGCGAGGGCCAGGCCTCCGAAGGTGGCACCGCCCTTTGCTGCCAGAAGGTTTTTTGTTTGTTGTTGAGAGTTATTGATTCATCCAGAACTGGGGTTCAAGCCACAGGTGCAGGGACGGTGAGAGGCTTCACCAGAGGCAGAAGGACGAAGCGCACCCCGGAGGGGAGCAGCGGGCGGGTCGGGAGGGGTCTGCGCGCCACATGGGTCACCTTGGGGTCAGGGGCTGGACTCTCGCTGAGGCGGCTGCGGCCAGCTTGCACGGCTGCGTCCTGACGCGCTGCGCCCCCAGGGAGGGCCCTGCTGTTAGAAGGTTTTTAAAGAGCACTGGAGTGGTCCTCCGTTGGAAGCGGGTGATCATTTATTTCCCCTTGGAAAATCGTGCTCGTGCTGGCTGGCAGCACCAGCGGGCTGGTGCTCACCCGGGTCTGTGTGTCCCAGGGTGTCAGGCTCCAGCTGGCCTTTTGCCTGCCCGAGGCCGCTCCCTCTCCCCTCTGTACCAGCCATGCTGCACCCCGCGCGGGACCCCAGTTCTGCCTGATTGCCTGACTGCGAGCCCGGCCGCCCGCGGGCCGTGTGGTGACCCCAGGAACCTTGGCTCTGTGCCTGGGCAGGTGGCTGCTGGCCTCTGGGGGCCGCCCTCAGGGTCCTGGGGCATTTTATCCCACAAAGCACACACCAGAAGGGCCGCCTGGTAGGTGAGGGAGTGTGACTGTCCCAGGTTCCGAAGTTTTCAAGTTTAAAAAGTCAAAGTTCTCATAGACTGAGAATGTGCAAGCACGATATCACTCCACATCACTCCATGTTGCTTCTGTGACCAACCCGAAGCCACGGAAGATACGCCCGCAGTTTGGATGCTGACGTACTTGGGAAGAGATCATCTGGAAAAGACAGAACTCTTGACTTCGGCAGCGAAATAGAATCACCCGGACCCTTTGCCAGAGCAGCTTGGAGGATCCCCATGGCACACGCGGGCACCGCACCGACACGCTGCCCTCCCTGCCCACCCCTCCACCCCCGCCCCGACTAGTGAAGGTGGCGGCAGTCAGAGCCAGAGCAGCCCGCGGGGCCGTCCGTCCCCCAGACGCGTCCCGCGGCCCTGGCCTCGTCTCGTGGCTCAGGCGCGCGCTGCGCCTCCCCGCCCACGCGCCTCCGTGGTGCCCCGGCCCCCCGTGGTGACCGCCTCTGTCTTCCAGGTGGTGCTGGTGAGGTGGAACGAGCCGTACCAGAAGCTGGCCACGTGCGACGCGGACGGCGGCATCTTCGTGTGGATCCAGTATGAGGGGCGGTGGTCGGTGGAGCTGGTCAACGACCGCGGCGCCCAGGTGAGCAGGCTCCTTCCAGGCGGCCGAGCGCCCGCGCGCCCCTGAGCTTAGCGCCGGGCGGACAGGGAGGTCAGACGCGCTTCCGTGGCCCCGCTGCCGTGGCGAGGCTCTCCAAGTCTTCAGCCTTAATTAAATCTGTGAAATCATCTTTTTGCCACTCAGTGTTGTGATTACATGTTAAATTTGGATCCTCTGAAGTGCTGCTGGCATCTCACTGTTTTGCTCCCCCTTAAAAGGTATTTTCCCTGCGCTGTGATCGCGCCAGGGACTCCACGTGGCTGTTGCTCGCCACCTCCTCACCTGGGTTTTGACACTCTCCTCTGTCAGGTTCCAATTAGCGTGGCCACCTGTTGTCAGCCCTCCGTGCTTCCGTTCTGATACCAATTTGTCTCCCTCCTGAGGAAAACAAGCGCTTCGGGGCCGCCCTGTTGAGTGGGTTATTTTTACAGCTGCCTCTTGGATTCCTCTGGCGTGTGGTCCAGCCCCAGCGCCTCTTCCCTGGAGGCCAGGGACTCTGGAGGCTGACCACCCGCACCCCACGGCCGGGCCCCTGGAGGCCGGGCTCCTGCAGGCTACTTCTGCAGTCGTTGACTCAGGCCCTGTCCTGCGGATGTCCTTGGGGACCTTCACTGACAGGCATCTTTAGGTTCTCGGCCCTGCAGGAGTATATTCCTTTTTTGAAATTTTATTTTATTTATGCATAAAGAACTGGGGTACAGGTCAGAAGTGAGGGGGCGGAGGGGATTCTCCAGAAACGGAGGGGGGAGCAGAATAGCGGATCCACTGAAGCACACCGCTGAGGGAGCAGCGGGGAGACAGGAGGGGTTGCTGCGCCCTGGGGTCCCTCCCTGGCAGGGATCGAGCTCGTGTTGAAGCTCGTGCTTTTGCCGAGAGCCGCCAGGGCGGACCCCGGGCCCAGGAGTGCCTTTCTGGAGGGCTGGCTCTGCTCTCTGCTGCCTGAATGATCCGTGAGCGCCTCGGGTCTGGGGGCACAGGCCCGGGAGGTGACCGCAGGGCTCCAGCCCTGAGCTGTCAGCCAACAGCCTGAGGGGCCTCGGGGACTTCAGCGCACGAGGCAGAACTGGGCCAGCACTTGCTCCTTGGGGACCGCCTGCGGGTATGGGTGACGTGTGCCACGCCCTGGCAGGGCCGGTCCGCTGCCTGCACACCTCCCTGGAGGGATGGACAGGAGGGGCCCGGGCCCCCGTGACGACTGCCTCCCCTCCGAGCCAGAGCTGCAGGCGTGGGGTCTCGGTGGCCTGAGACGTCCACCTCACGGGGGCAGGGTGGGGCGAGAGCCCAACCCTGGAGTCAGCGGACATGGGCAGGTTACACGCCATGGCGCTTAAGGAAGATCCTTAGCACTCTGTGCCTTGGTTTCCCCATCTGTAACCTTGGGACCCCAGCGACTCCCACCTCAGAGGATCGCGTAGAAGGCGCTAACATGTGCGGCGCAGAGGCCGCCTGCACGGCGGGCCTCAGACGCGCATGGCCCCTGGGTCGGGCGGTGCCGCTGCCCCTAAGGAGCCTCAGGACCCGGGGGCCTCCCATGCTGTAACTCCCCAGCCCGCCGGAGTCTGGCTTTCCCTCCCCTAGAGAGGCCAGGAACAGGACACTGGACAGCGGGGGGCACTGGAGCCTGATCCCCGCGGGAGTCCAGGTGGTGTCGTCACCCCCAGGGGCAGAGAAATCGCCCGGCGTGGGCCGCCTCCCGGGGAAGCCCGTGGATGGCGGCGGCAGCAGCGCCCGAGCCCAGCTCGGGTCTGGAAGGCCCTGAGCGGCTCTGCTCGCCCGCCGCAGGAGGCGCTTCGCTCCCTGAGCGTCGCTGTGCCCCTCGGTGTGTGCAAATGACGCTCCTGCCCAGCGGGCCCTCCTGCCCGGCAGCGTGGCCACCAGGCCCTGCCACAGGCTGTGAGGAGCCGCCGTCTCGGGCCCACAGCAGCCAGGCTCAAGGGCCGCTGCTCAGGAGCATGTGGTCAAGCAGGAGGCCAGAGACAAGCCGAGTGCTGCTGAGTGCTGAGTGACCAGACCTGGTGCTGAGTGACCACGCGTGGCCCGCAGAGCCCCTGGAGTTGCACGCATGCCTCTGCCCACTGGGGTCAACAGGTGTCAGTGACACCTGTTGTCCTGTGGCGCCAGGACCTCCCGGTCCTGTGTTGTCACGGTTAGACACTAGCCTTTGGGGAGGTTTGTTTGCTTTTCGGTTAGTCTGAGCTTACCTGACACAAGAGACAGGCAAGCCCTACCTGGTGGAGGAGGGACAAAGGAAGAGCCTCTTGGAGACCTGCACAGACTGAGAGGATACTCAGCAAGAAAACCACAGGCGGCTTTGTTGTGCTGGCTGCCTGTCGTTGTCACAGGGAAAGCAGCCTTTGGCAGGAAGCAAAGCAGCGCTCTGGCAGCGCCTCTCAGGGACTGCTCGGAGGCCTCCGTTTCACAAGTGAGCCTGGAGCATGTGGGCCTTGTGCCACGGTCCGGCCCCCAGCGTGGCTGTGCCAGGCACACGCTCCCGGGGCGGGCTGAGGGGGGAGGCCATGGCGGCGGGCCAGCCCGAGGCTGCCCGGCGCTGTCCACCCACGGCTGCACGCCCACACTGGCCCTCAGCGCCTGGCAGCCAGGAAGAAGGGCTTTCGGCTGGTTCTTCCATCTGGTGCTCGTTTTTCCAGTCCTGATAGCACTTTCCACTCTCCGCTATCTAGTGTGAGAAGCCCCGTCGGCTCGTGTAAACATCCTCTGTTATTTTGTGACTGTAGGATTCGTGGTGTCTGGAAGAACCTTCTTCCCAGGGGCTGACGCTTTAGCCCTCTGTGAAGACGTTTTTCCTTTTTGTACAGACCTGTTCCACGACAAGTGAGTTAACATGCATGTAAATGAGTAGTTTGGTCTTTGTGAAGTGAAAGGACGGTTGACTTTTTTCTTGCAGAATGTGGTATATATTGTCCATCAGATTTTTTTAGGTACTTAAGAAACGCTAGGTAGTGTGATCAGTTGGAACAGATGAGTTAACCAAGGTTCTGTGCCCACTGTGGAACAGCTTTCCCAGCTGCCTTAGTCGAGCGGCTGGGACGCGCTCACAGTTCCTTCCGTGGCTCATCCCTCAACGTAAGGTGTGGCCCTGGAAGGAAAGCACCCAACATTTATGTCTCTGAGTGTCATCGTATCACCTAGAATGTAACATATCCAGTAGCGTACAATTTTTAAAGAAAGTGTAACTTTTTAAAACATTTATTTATGCATACAACAGCTGGGGTACAGCCAGAGGTGCAGGGGGTGACAGGTTTCACCAGAGACAGAGTGGGGAGCAGAACAGCCAGATGGACTGAGTTACACTGGTTGAGGGGAGCAGCAGGCGGGTCAGGAGAGGTCTGCTGTGCCCTGTGGGTCACTCCCTGGCTGGGGATTGAACTCAGGCCGGAGCAGTAATAGCACTGAGACCAGGGTGCCCCCAGACATTATTTTAAATATGTACCTGTTAATTAATAATGACATCAACATATATGAAAAAGATGACAGAACTGAAAGAAAAGTTTGATAGATTTATACTCAGAAGTTTCAACAGCAGCAAAGATCACAGACATGGGCACCCCTTTTAACAGACTTGACCTAACGGACTTAGGATTTGAAGCCATCAGTTAGAAAATACACATTTTTCTCAGAAGCAGACAGGACATCTCCAGCGTGTTCTGGGACTCCATAGGCTCTGTGACGAGTGTGTAGTGGGTGTCTCACGTAGACTAGGAGATGAATGGAGGGTACCAGGTAACTTTACAAGAAAGAAAACACACGTCCAGAAACCTTTTTATTAGTGGAATTGAAAACCAAGTGGGCTCTACAACTGGAATGCCACGTTACTCCGCGCGTGGCCGAAGCGCGGTTCTGCTGGTTCTCCCCTGACCGTTTAAGCCCGTCCACAGTGTGAGGGCTGCCCATCCGGGCGCAGGCCAGAGCCGCCCCTGTGACCACACTTTGCTGAGCCCTGTGTTGGGCACAGGTGAAATTGAGCAGAGTGCAGGTGGTGGGTGCCAGGGCTGCCAGGCCGGGACGTCTGTGCACAGGGCGACAAGGTGGAAGTTAGACCAGGGGCACGGAGACGTCCCTGCACCTTGGTCAGAGTTTACACGCGTTGCTGCGTGGCTCTCAGGCTCAAGAAGCCGTTTAATGGATTTTAGCATAATCCTAGCTCAGATGGAAATGGAATTGCTACGTTTCCTGATGTATGAGCTGTAGTTAAAGCGGTGACATAAGAGAAATACATCCTCTTAATTATTTTCAGTAGAGGGGGATAGAACAATCATCAGTCAGGTAAGTGTCAAATCTAATGAGGAAGGGTAATAAAAATAAAAGTGGAAATTAGTGCAGTAGGGAAAAAGTGATTCAGCAGAGATCCACAAATCCAAAATTTGTTCTATGGCAGCAAGCTAACAAAACAGATAGACTGATTAAGAAAGAAAATACCGAAAGTGATCCGTGAATGAAAGTTGACTTTGAAGAGAATTAGTAAATGCCTGTGATAAAACTCCGCACCCAGGTATAAGTCACGTTTTCCAGTTAGGTTTTCGTTTCCGCTTTGATTGAGGTGTTGTCGGGTGGCGTGGGGCTGATCTCCAGAAACAGAGCTTTGCGGCTTTGCTGCGTGGGTGAGGCCGAGGGCGACTTTGCCACTCTGTGACTCTGCGTGGCGGGAGGCTGCAGGGCAGCGGCTGAAGCCGGATGCCCAGCCACACGGCCGCGGGCAGCCTCTGCCGGCCACTGGCCACGTGCGAGACCCGGGATGGTTACGGCCCAGCCACATGGTGCCTGGTAGTCTCCACTGGCCACCTGGCCGCTGTGCGAGACCCAGATGGTTATGGAGCCCCCCGCCCAGCCACAGGCCCTGGGCCATCTGCACTGGCCACTCGGCCACTGTGTGAGACCCGGACAGCTATGCACCGCCCCCCCCCACCAGCCGCATCTGTTTCCTCTGGAAACAGGCATGGTGGCGCCTCCCCGCAAGCCTGAACCGGTGCGTGTCGGGGGCTGAGCGCCGCGGGACACCCCTTGCCAGCGCTGCTCTCACCCTGTGTGAGTGCTGTGAGGTGCCACATGTGGGATGCGCGTCCTGTGCGTTCCTGTTCTCGGGCTCAGCCGGACGCTCCCTGGTGATGGCGCCTGGTCTCGGCCGTGCTTTCCGTCCAGACTGACTTCTGTTGTCTGTTGTGTCTCCAAGGTCAGTGACTTCACGTGGAGCCACGACGGGACCCAAGCGCTTATCTCCTATCGAGATGGGTTTGTCCTGGTTGGTTCTGTTAGTGGACAGAGGCACTGGTCGTCTGAGATCAACTTGGAGAGTCAAATCACGTGCGGCATCTGGACTCCCGATGACCAGCAGGTAAGGTGGGAGCCCTGAGTGCCGAGAGGAAGCGCGTAAGTTCCCTCCCGTGGGCGCAGGGCGGCCGGAGGGGCAGCTGGCCCAAGAGCCTCTTGAAGATTCACAGAGGGAATCAGCAGTCAAAGTGTCCCCTGAAGATTAAGAGAGAAACGTTAAATGAGCCACAGGCCGGAGAAGTAGTCCATCGTGCCCACCTGGCATGTGGCGAGTTCCCGTTTTAGCCGTAGGGAATGGCCCCACACCTTCACTCTGGAGCCTGTGAGTGGGTGGAAGCATCACAGACAAGCCGGAGAAGCCCGTCAGGCCATGAGGAAGGCGAAAGGAACCCCAGTGGCCGGCGGGCGGGTGGTGCTTCCGGCCACGAGCCCTGGGCTCATTTTTTTTTTTTTTTAAGATTTATTTACTTGT